ATTTGATTAATATTATCTGCAGCTTGTCGAGTAGGTACTATATGAGTTGTGTCAAAAAATTTATCAGAGGAGATATGAGAATCTATTTTAGATACAAGAATGGATTTGCCCATATCAAATAATTTTCCAACACGTATTTCTTGTAATACATTATAAAAGTCTGTATCGTGATGTTGTCTTTGAGGAGTGGTAAGAAATAGAGGAAAAAACCTGAGCCAAGCTGGTGAATGAAAAACGGGAAACGGGCGTACTGGTGGTAGTTGAGCTAGATTACCTACTACCAGTGTTGGTAAGCCTCCGAAGAGAAGATTATTATTATGGATCTTTGCAAAAGTACTACTAACAAAAGTAAATAGGTCAGCGTCTACCATGGATATTTCATCAAATATGAGTAATTCTATTTTTTTTAATTTAGATATGTTTTCCGAATTATAATGGATTAAAGTTTCATATCGATTATCTTGAAATTGAATTTTTAGAGTAGAATGAATTGTTTTACCACCAATATTTTGCGTGGCAACTCCGGTAGGCGTCATTAAAAAAAATTTTTTTTTTTTTGAAGATAAGTATGAAATTAATAGGTAGAGTAGGAAAGTTTTACCAGTTTCAGCCGAACCAGTTAAAAAGAAATAAGGGTATCTGCCATCATTTAATCTTCCCCATATATTATATAAAAGATTGTAAATTTTATATCGTTTAGTATCAAGAGTTAGAAAAGAACAATTATTAAAGTAAGGTATATACTTTTCTAGAGAAATGAATTGATTAAAAACTAAAGTAGATAACTCTTGGTTTTCAAATTCAGACACAAGCGATCGTATTAATATATTATAAGCATTTGATAAATTATTTTTTTGTAGGAGATAACTCTGACAGACGGAATCAATTTCAAGGGCAAATCTAATAGGGAAGACAGATTGAAATCGTTCTTTATAGAAGGTATAACCACTTAATAATTCACATTCTAATCTAACGGAAAATTTCATAATAAGATGTTGAAAAAAAAAAGGTTCACCATCTTCTATTTTGTAGCTAGTGAAATGCAAGAGAATAGGTGTTTTTCTTTGTGATACTATTCTATTTTTTCGATCCCAGGTATGAAATAGTTTTGAATTTGAGCCAGGTAATTTAGACCTATATGTGTAATTTCGAAAATAATCAGGATATGTAATTTCACAAAAACGTTCATGGTCAGGTCGGTCAAAGTATTTATCGATGGCGTCATCCCAATATGGTGTTTCGTCATCTTGATCAACGTTATCTCCATTATCATTTATATGATGTAGAAGGTGAATTGGTTTAACAGATCTTATGCGTAAATCAGAGAGAGTGGAAGGAAGGTAATGTACAGAGACAGAACATCTTGTTAAAGGGTATTGTAGCAAAAGGATCATTAATTCCATTGCACCTAACTGTCTTGCCATAATATGTTTTCTATAATTATTGGTCTCATCGATATTAAATAATTCTGAGGATTCAGTTTTAGTAACATATTTAGTTATGTATTTAGCAAAGCCAGTAGAAGTGACATATTGAAAATTAATGTGACCATGCCATACTAATAAGGTTTCAGAATAATAAGGAACTACCATTCTGTCTTCGTTTTTCATATGACGATAGACATAACGTAAAGAGTGTTGTAAAAAATAGGTTCTTTCAGATAAGGGTTGAGGAAAACTCTTAGAACATGAATTTCCATTAGGATTTGGACCACCACACCTGTGATCACAATAGTGTATCTGAAATAATAATACCAATGCATATAATTCAGGTTCAGAGACGGGATCAGGGAGATTAGTGCGGATTACATTCAAAGAGATTAATTTGGGAATTTTTTTTTCTGTGTATGCGAATCCATGTGTATATATAGTTTCACGATTTTGAAATTCATCGCATTCAAAAAAATGCTCCTACTTACCCCACCTGGAAAGGGTCGGGTATTTCCAAAGTTTATTACGAACATTGGTTAAGTAGTTACGGAAGAATAGGTAGGTGTGTAGTGGGCGATTAGTAGGTAGTGTATCATTATTGTTAGTTTGTCTCAGTATTTCATGTAGGTGAGGCCACTTATCTTCGGCCATAGTCATTGAATAAAACATTTGAGGCAAACTATAGGAATTTATCATAGTATTAATTTGATATTGTTTTTGTTGAAAAAAAGGAGCAGCGGTTCGGAGGCTTGAAGGAATCGTAGTAGTTTTAGTTTCATCTATGATATTACAGGTATTATAAGAGCTTTTAGCAATCAAATCTGCTCTTGTTGGGTGATATTTGCGATTAACATTTCTAGTTGACAATATGCGGTGTTGGTTTTGAAAATTTCTTCTTTTTTCTAGGTTTAAGTATAACCAATGAGGCCAATACCAATGGAGATGGAAATGAGGATCAGGACAAAGTAGGCGTAATTTTATATATTTTCCGTAACTGTCAACCAAAGGTTGAAAATTTAGTAGTTGTCTTATATTTTCATAATGTCTTTGACTATTAGGAAATAAGTCAGAAAACATTAAAGCTTCTAGATATGGATCATTAAATGTAAGAGGCTTATTAGTACTAATTATTGAACCAGCTAATAGGTGACTGTAATGCGCATCTTCGTCATGAATTTCTTGGAGAAAAGAATTATTTGGAACAACTAAGTCAGGTAGACGAGGTAAACTATCAGGAATATTACTGCAATATATATTTGTGGATTGAGTAGTAGTCTGAAGTGATTGTTGAGCTGAGGGTAAGGGAATAGGGATAGGTGTTGTTGGGGTTGGATGGCTGATAGTTATACTCGACGCATATTCACAAATAAGAGGATTTGTTTGTTTGAGCCATTCAGATGCGGGAATTAAAGAATCATAGAACCAATTTGGTGGCTTGTTGATATTTAAGTAACATCCAATCAATCCAGAATATAATTGAAGAGTTCTGTAATTGCATAATAGGTTGATAGATCCTTCAAGATGGCGATAGTTGGTGTAAGGATTTGCACCTGCAGTTCAACCTAGTGAACAATTCATGAAAACGAGAGAGAGATATTTTCTATAGAACATAGGAACATTATGTATTTGAGGAGGAATGTGGGTTAATATGGGAGGATAGCAGTGTGTTTTTTCATTTTTACATCCATTGCAAACAGCAACTTTAATGATACTTCTATTATTTATTTTAGTGTGAACGGGAAGCGAAAAAGCCTGTGGCATCATATATGGGTGATCTTCAATATAGTTAATCCATTGTACAAAAGAATTTGACATAAGAATCGAACAATATGCACAAGGAATATTTGGATAATCTGGTAAGATTTTTGTTTGAAATTGATGTATGAGACGACGAAGAGCTGGGGTTAAGTGTCAATACGAAAAATTATTAATTTTATATGAAGGAAGTAGTAATTCGGGATATTAAAATTAGTAGGTACATTCGATAAATTTTGATTTATTTTGTTCCTGAAAGTATACGGTTCAAAAATGGTATCAATAGGAGAAATAGTAGAATTTTCATTGGATTGTGTTAATATTTCGGCGAAAGAGATAAGATAAAAAGTTTGAATATTGTAATTGGGCATTTTTATTTATTTTTTGGATGTATTTTAACGAGTTTAAAAAAGTTTGGTATTGTTACGGGATGAAATTCAGCATCCAATACGATAAAAGTACAGAAAAATTAAAGGTTTAGAATTTAGTTTTATTAATAATATTTTTCATGCCATTTTTAATTCGAAGGTTTTTTGATTTTACAACAATGAAATTACAGCGCTTTTATAATTTTACGATAAAAAAAAATACAAAAGATTTTAGATAATTATTATAATTTGTTCACAGTCCGAATCATAAAATTAAGATTATTTAAAAGAGGGGCTTCGGGTCAATTATTTTACTTTTACAGTTTAAATTTATAAAAATAATAAAGAGGCTTTTATGCTTAATGATCATTCAATGATGATTCAATAATTTAAAAATTATTGTTCTCTTTTTTTTGGTCTTAGTCCAATAAATGGCTTTTTTTAACAAGTTGCTTTCGCGTTTTAATGATTTATTTAAAATTAATATGCTTTCTTTCCTTTCGTTTGGTTTTAGCCCAATAATCGGTTTTATCTTTCATTCACATATTATTATTGTAATTTTTATTTCGCGTCAGTCATTTATTGTCATTTAATGAGTTATATTAATGTTTCATAGCCTCATTAATATGGCGCTTTTTAAACAGAATAATTTATAGATATAATAATTTAAAAATATTTTATAAATAATGTAAAATTTAAAAAATTTAAATTGTTAATGATAATGCGTTTTTATAACTGTAAGCATATAATCGAAGATTATCGAATAGTTGATCGTGGAGAAAATTAATTGTTATCAATTAACCGATGGTGGCATAGTAACATATTGTCAATCAATCGTGATATCGAATGATTGAGATTTTTTTTTCTTTTACCTAAACTTGAAAATTTTATAAATTGTACAAATTGCTTTTTTTATAAGTTTTACAATTAATAGAGTATTCCATTAGTAATATTTTCATATGGTAGAATAATCCAAGTCTAAAAATAGTAGATTTTGGATTAATATTCTTTTTTTGTATTAAATTGACGATGGGAGTTATTGTCAATAGTATTTGATGAATAAGAATCAATAAATATCGACTATAGTTCAATTACATATTTATTCTATTATTTTTTTAAATGAATTATTTTTTTTGACGCACATAATGCTATAAGCAGTAATTCAATTAATGAAAATAAATTAAGATCAATTTATTTTTTGTTAGAGTGGCCTGTTTTATTCAAGTATGTTCGATTTTCATTTGATGCATATGAAAAATTAGAAGTAACACAAATTGATCAATGGGATTTAATACGTAATATTTTTGTACACAAAATTAAAGGTGGATAAAAATAATATTTTTAGAAGTATTTATTAAACAAATTTATAGAACGTATGTATATAAAAAAGTAGACAGCGCTATTTATATAGAAAAAAAAAATTATTACAAAAGAGAGTAATTGTTTTTTATTTTTTTGTAGGTAGAAGTGGTCTTAGACGCTTTTTATTAGTATCAGATTTTTTGCCTTGAAGAATAGGAGTATCAAAGTGGGTAGGTTCAACGGGTATATTATTGTTAATAGAAGTGTTTGTTTCGTTTGCAAAAGATGCAGTAGGAGTAAGAGTTTTATTCATATTTTGCGAGTTAGGTTCGTTGATAACTTGTTGGGTAGACTCTGTATGAGAAGGCCTAGCGGAAGAAGCTTCTTTTTGAATTCAGGAGATGACTTCAATAAAATTCGGAGATATAGTTTTGTTATTTTGGGGTTTAAAAGAAGAATTTTGTAAATTAATTCTTTGTCTTTTTTGAGAGAATTGAGATGTTAATGCAGCATATTTTTCTTCAATGTTTTCAAGTTGTGTGTTAAGTTCTCCTTATGAAGATGTTGTTCTACTAGATGAAGTATTTGAAGTTTGAGGGTTACTAGTTGGATAGGTCCATTCAATATCAGAAGCGAGAATAGGTGGAAGTTTTTTTGATCCAAGTTTCAACCGTTCTATGACAGATAAGACAGTTCTTTTTAGATTATTTTTTAAGGCATTATAACAATTGTTTTTGTTTAGATATGATACGATAACTTTAGAGTCAATTTGTTTATTGTTAGTGACTCCATTATACAAACGCCTTGCTAGCATAAAACTTTCTCGACCTCCATTATTGTCAGGAATATATAAATTTGGTACTATAGGAGCTGAGTAAAGTAATAAGGGAGATGAATTTGGAAGGTCTTCTTGGGTAAGAGTATATTTATCATCAGAATAAGATACAGGAACAGATTGAATTATAGTGACCTGAAAGAAATAATAAAGTGTGAATTGAGTTTATAATTTATTTAATAAAAATAAGAATAGTAATTAATATGTACATATTCTATATTATCTTCACACACATAATAGCCAACCATCAAGACAATAGAATTTTTTTCGAACAGAATAACCAATGAATCAGAATTTCTGGGAAACTCTTGAAAGTAATTTCTCTAAATTTATCAGTATTATCGTTTATTCGATATATCACAGTTCCGGTAATATAATTATCATTTCCAGTAACATTTTTAGCGAGACAAAAAGCAACGAATAACGATGACATAATGAATAATATTATAGGATTACACAAAAAAAAATTTAATAGGGCAATTGGTTAATTTTAAAACGATTTACTAAAACGAAACTTTATTTATTAATTATAGAAATTTGATTCGAAGGTTTTATTATTTTATAATAACGAAATTACAGCATTTTTATAACAATTGATTAGCAAGACGTTCGAGAGGCTTTTTCAAAAATTTTACTTTTTTATGACCAAGGCTTTTTTAATTTTCATGGATTTTTGTAAAAAGATTTTTAAGTTAACTAATATTTTCATGTTATGACTTATTTACAACTTTATATTTTTTTATCGTTAATCTGAGCCCGATCTAACGCTTAGCTTCTTTTTAATATGCCACCCGTATTGTATACCTAGCTTTTTCCTTTCAGCACATTGCCTGTGTGTTATACTTAGTTATTTCCTTTCTATTTATCAATCATGACTAATTTTTATCGTGAGTTAGTCATTTATTGTCTCTTAATGAGTCATATTATATAATCCATAGCCTCATCAGTTGTGGCATATTATCAAGACATATTCCCAGAATTTAAAGTACAATTAAATATATTTGAAAAACTGAAAACATCACCTTATCTTGGGATAAAGTATTTGTAAACAACGAATGTAAATTTTTATTAAAAAGAGAAAAAATTGTACAACTTTAATAAAATAGTATATCGTGTAAATATGTACTGTAGTTAATCGAAAAAAATTAATATTTACATTGTAGATTTGATTAAAATACAGTGAGGTTGATTTGAAAATCAATGTACAATAGTAAATACATTTATATATAGTAATATTTATATATTTAATACATATTGCAGTATTGGATTGAGCGAATTGGTTATAAATAAAATTTGATTATGAATTCTTTTACGTGCTGAAAAAAAAAATATAAATTAAGTATGCACGGTTCACATCGATAGATGCAATGTGTATATTATTATATAATCATAGAATAGAATAAGAAAAACACGGCGTAACCAATAAATTTTAATATTCAACAGATCGCTTATAATTGTATGAAAAATGTTTCGCTTCCTATTAAGTAGAGAAAAAGAAAAAATCTAGATTATCAATTAATCAGAACAGTAAAAAATCTGACTGGAAAAAAACCACGAATCAAGAAATAACAAAATCGATTATAATATATCCACAAGAAACTTTTAATTTTTCTGACATAATAGCAAAAAAATTGCACATTCTTTTAAAAACACATCTGCAAAATTTTCGAGGGTTCTGTGAAAGTCTGGTCAGGTCAGGTCTGCTCTGCTCTGCTCAGCACTGCACAACCAAACCAAAACCATAAATTATACAACGCTTTCAATTTTGTGATGCGATAAATGAACTTTTTTGGCCAATTTTTCGCCAAAAATGGATCTAACACAACCGGTAAAGGTAAAAATAGAAAAAATACGTTTCACCAAAAGCAGATCGCCGTATAAGTGTGTTAAATAAGTTACCCGGGCAATTGATTTACATCAGCCAATCAGACGAAAGTCTGTCTATGAGGGTTGGACGGGTCCAATCACTATATTAAATAATCGTATAATCGTAGTAATATTAATCGACCAATCAGATTTTACAAAAACAACCCGTGATCCACAAATGATCTACATAAAATTAGCCAATCAGACGAACTTCTTCCTATGAGATTACGTATGTATATACCAGATACGTATGTACGTGCGTACGTACGTACACGGACGTACTATAAAACAGATAAAAAACCTTTTCAGGTAATTTTAGAAAAATTCTTTTAATATATTACTATCTTCATAATGGTAACAACAAATCTCAGTCAAATAAATGGTGGTAGATTGTTTCGATTTACTAAAACTTTGATCTAATTCACAGCAGTATGGTTACGATGAATTTGAGCAGTTCGGGTTCGGCCTACAAAATCCAAACCGTGGGTTCGTGGAAATGTACCGTTGTTACCCGGTTATTATGATGCAAGGAAACGAAAGACAGAACGTGAACTTCGGAGGGAAAAGTGAGTGTTTGTCTTAATAAAAATTGCCATGCCTAGTATTTAAGAAAATCGTTAAATCACTGAGCCAATCTCTTATTTCTTTAATTTGAATTCGTAGTCATTTTACCACCTTCTGCGCTAGCAAAATTAGGTATTTTATACAATATTTTATTTTATCCAAATATAATTTACTAATTCATTATTGTCATATAAAGCCAGCTTGAATATTGTTTATCCTATGTTGTTTGAGTTACGAAATAATGTAAAGCAGAGACATTCGCATGCTGGAGTGCTCGAATTCATTGCAGAAGAGGGTCGTGTATATTTACCCCACTGGGTAATTAGAGAAACAAGTTTTTAGTTCAATAGATAAAAGGTTTATGATTTATCACTTAATAATAAACTCACGCAAAAAAAAATCAATTTGATAATTAGATGATGCAAACCCTATTACTGACAGAGGGAGATCTTATCGAAATAAAAAATGCATCATTGCCCTTGGGTAGCTATGTCAAGATTCAACCACAAACTGTTGATTTTTTGGACATTAGTGATCCGAAAGCTGTGTAAATATACATATTTTTTGTTGAAATTAACATAATATGTCTATTATTTTCTCGTAATTCATTTTGTGTCTTATTAAAATAGACTTGAAAATGCGTTACGTAATTTCTCCACTTTAACACAAGGCGATATCATCCAAATTAATTATAATAATAAGATTTACGAAATCTTAGTATTGGAGGTAAAACCTTTGAACAATGGTATCTCTATTGTAGAAACAGATTTAGAGGTGTGTAACGTTGAAATTTTACTGGGGAAAATTACTTGTGTGCATCATTCTCAGTATTAAATGCCTAGACACAAATAGGTCGACTTTGCACCACCAGTAGGATATGTCGAAAAACCGCAACCAAAAAATACTATGGTACATTGATTTCAGAATATATATTAAGAGTGAAACATTACAAGGTTACTTATCATTACATGTATACATTAGGCGAACAAGATCAAGATAGAGGAACCATCAATCGAATCAAAAAGATGGTCCGCATTTCGAGGTAGTGGGCAACGTTTGAATGGAAAGGCTGTGAAGGCGTCGTCTGCTTCAACTTCAAATTCCAGGTTTAAGTTACAAACAGTAAATGATTTAACGCATTAGGTTAATTTGTTGTGAATTAATTAATTAATTAATTAATTAATTATCTATTTTAGTGCAAATTCAAGTATAGATAATTTAAGTGAAAATATACCAGCTCCCCTAAATTTGCCGTTCGGAAAGCTATTCTTTGGTTATAAAGTCGTACCTTTTGGTGAAAAAAAGCAAGGAATAGCGGATGATGTATATATTATTGATTAATTTTGAGGATCCTTGATTTTTTTTTTTTTGCTATAGGAAAGAATTAATTTAATCATATCTATTTTTAGTCTGTACCGTTGTTTCCCGGAGAAGGGCAAACTTTACGACCTCCTAGATAGAGGTTGGGTAGGTTATCAGATGATCGCGAATTGATACTTTGATATCATCCTGGAGTAAATTATGCAGAGTCTGTTGACCCAGTATCATTTTGATGCTGATTAACATTCATATTATAAGCAATATATAATAAAATTTTAATTTATCAAGTAATATTTACATCGGAGCCAGCAGTTTGTTTTAGAGATTAAATTTTGGTTTAAACTTGAAATTCAGCGGCTTATTATCCAATTTGTATAAATAATTAAGGAATTGTGAATTTGCAAAATGAAATTTGACAGCAGATTTTAAGGTCAGAATTACGCGCTTGTGGATCAAGCCGTAATAAGCAATAATAGTATACAAAGATTTAAATTTTTTAGCCCATCTTTCCAGAGTATTTTGTGTTTCCGATTTTACTAAATATAAAGTACGAATTTAAAAAAATTATGAAAAGTTGTAATCGAGTACGTAGTCACGTTTTCTCGACCCGATCAAATGACTTAAACATATTGACATGTCGATATTTTTACACTAACAATGTTAATGTTATTGACACAGTAAGATAAACCATATTCGAGATTATTGTTGTATCTTCTAAAAAATATTTTCAGTAAATTCATTAAACGGTAAAATTTATTCAGCTATAGGCACATGCTATGCATTGCCTAGTTTATTATTTAAATTCTGACATGCAGTGTAACAAATTTTTACAAAAAAAATAAAAAAATGAAAATGAAATATTGTTACATAAAAATGAATCAAGCTTTATAAAAACAAAATTTTTTGCTTGCTACTTTTCACTAGGTGCCGG